GAAAGGGCTTGGACATTTGTAAGCAAGAAACCTTTCGTAAAGTGGAATTGCTATTTCGGCATCATGCCAAGAACCAGGACAGTTATATCTATAAGAAAAAGAGTCAATTTAGTTTTGTTTGTTTAGAGAATCAAACAAGTATGTCAATCCTACCTCACATAGGCGATACAGCCATCCGGGGTATATACTAAAACTTGTGAGGCATAGCAATCATCTTTCCATCCGTTATAGTACGCTTTTTGCTCGAATGGGTCTTCAGGATGTTGTATTCTAAGGTTAAGACCGTCAACAAAGCCAAACACTCCTTCTAACACCTGTTTCTCAAAGTCATTTGTGGTGTTCGTAAGCACCATATCGTTAAACGTTGTCATTTCATCTGTAGTGGGCCAAACAATTTTCCAACGAGGGTCTTTTTTGTTTTTTTCAAAAACGTTTAAGAGGGTTTGAATACCCATAGTTTTAAATCTACTGAGTGTTGCAGCAGGGACAACAAATATTATACAGAGTGTTTCCTGCTTCATGGTGTTATGCAACCACATCAGAAGCAAAGCAAGTGTCATCACCGTGTCAAGTACTCTTTTACGTCCAGCCGTGCATTCGGTTGGATATTCTTTCTGGAATTCTTCGTGTAATTGGTCGAATGCTCCAGTCGTCAAACCAAAATGACACATAAAGGCATCATCCTGACGACCATCAAGCAACCTTTTCGCAGCCGATTTATTAGGTGAATGCAGACTTTTTGACGTTGTGTAGAATCGTTTAGAAATACGGCGTTGAGATTCAATAAAATTCATGTACTGATAGGCAGCATCAGAAAGCAAAGTAATATGCGATAATAATGCTAATTTACGCTTTGTTATAGGGGGCATTTTGTATCAAAAATATAAAGGGGATAAAGAAAAAGGAAATGGATGATAAAAGAGAGATTAACTTATATTTCGTTAACGATACAAAAGTGACAATAATTGGGTTCCACAACATTGAATCTCATAAGTCACGCCATATTATCCCAACAAGATGATTGATTTAAACAAGTCTGACATAATAGCGTGCTTTATTAAACAACGTGTTATAAAAACCATAATTTTCGCTTTTTAAAAAAGCCTTTTTTCTTTCTTTTCATATAACTTAATAAAAATAACAATGGGCAACGTAACAGGATCTGTCAGAATGACTAAAGATGAAAAAACCTATTTACTGAAAATAGTAAAGAAAGTTTTGCCAAGTGGAGCGGACGAATGGTCCCATGTAAGCCAAATATATATGGCTGGACAAAAAAAAATTGTCGAACAAGAAAACGAGGCCATCAGGTTAGAAACAGGAACCAAGGGAACGAAAGTTGCCTATGAGCGTAGCGGCAACTCTTTGAAGGCGGCTTATCGTACATTGAGAACGACAAAAGCACCAACAGGTAAATTATCATATAATTCGAGGTGTAATGAAAGAAATCTTGCTAACAATGATACAAACAAAAAAATCTATTAGGCAACTCAACCCCAACTAGTTTGATTACTGATGCAAAAACAATTGAGGACCAAATCGCAATCAAAGGTTGCTTATCACAGCTTCATGGTCACACGGATTCCGAGGACGAAGAGAAAGCAAGCCGCATGCATCATGAAGGTAGCGGCTTTCGCTCAATTGATGATCTGGTAGAGCAGAGTTTAACAGCCAGTGACAATAGTGAGGCATCTCCTCGTGCAGTTGGTAGAACGGTGCCAATGCCAAAGAAGTCTAAAAATACCCACCAGCATATGGAGGACTTCAACAACCATTTTGGTGTCCTGGCTGAGGCAATTGCGTTGTCTCTTCGGGGAGGAAATGAACCAAAACCATCGGTCCCAACCACACGTTCCGAAATGACCAACGTGACCGATGTCAATTTGGAAATGATTGAAAATTGTCTTGGAGCTGTTGACAATCAATTTGAGGAGGTCAACATTCGCCTGGATGGTGTGAAAAATGGCCTCAAAAGTGAACTCAATGATGTCAAAAAGGAGTTCAACGAGTTGAAGGAGACGGTAAATTTAATCAATATGTTGATTCGTATCATATATATAAACTCTATCTAACCGACTACATTATCAGATGTCAGCGATGCTTTGAATATATCAAGACATCGGTAGCTAAGGTAGTTTAACTATTATAAATCATGTTTTTTTTATTCGTACTAAAAACCATAATCTTTATATGCACATTAGCAACCTATTCCTACTTCTGAAAAGGGCAAAGGCACCCGTTCCCAGAAGCGTAAAGGAGCCGAATAAATAAACGTTTTTGACAAATATTATCCATACATCTCATATCTATTATCTGCATATTATTAGCGTTTATCAGAAACAAAGTATTTAATAGAAATGTAATTTTTTTTTTTTTTTGGAGTTAATTCTATTTTAATTCGGGGGGGTAGGGGGGTCGAATTAACTTCAAAAATTTAAGCAGTGAAATTTAAGGTTAATTCCACGTTACACAACCCAAAAAATTAAGTCTATTCTATTTAATTCTATTTTGCATTTTGGAAGTCATCCATTAAAAAAGAAAAAAGAAAAAGAAAAAGAAAAAAGAAAAAGAAAAAGAAAAAGAAAAAAGAAAAAAGAAAAAAGAAAAAAGAAAAAGAAAAAAGAAAAAAGAAAAAGAAAAAGAAAAAAGAAAAAGAAAAAAGAAAAAAGAAAAAAGAAAAAAGAAAAAAGAAAAAAGAAAAAAGAAAAAGGAAAAAGAAAAAGAAAAAAAAAGGAAAAGGAAAAAAAAGACTCCGTTTATATGTACTTTTTAGAGGTTGGTGTTACGACGGAGGGATGACTGGAGGCAGATAATTTTTTTTTGTATACGCGGCTTCTTGACAACAGGACACTAAGACAGATACTCGTCTGCTTCAGGTAAATGGAATGAATGAGTGATTTTAAGTGGATCTCAATTTTTATTCACCCAATCTGGGTAAGTACTCGCCCATAGACGAATACTCGTCTGCTGCAGGTAAATGGAACGAATAAAAAAGCTTAAATTTTTGTGCAACGTTTATATTTTACTCAAAATGAACGAACAGTTACCCCTGGACGAATACTTACCCTTTTTGAGTAAATGAAGTAATTTTATTTTTTGTGTACGATTGTTTATTTACCCAAAATGAACGGATACTCGCTCACGTACGAATATCCGCTCCGATTTGAACGGATGCTTACCCCCAGACGACTATTCGCCCATTCGTCCGCATTTACTCTGTTTAAGTAAGTTTTTTTAGCCTAGGTGTTCGGAATGAAGATCGAAACTCTCGAGCGAGCTTCGATCGTGTTCCAGTCGAAGCTCGCTCGAATGCGTTTTTTTGCAGCTAGAGCTCGCTCGAAGTTTCTTAAGCTCGGCTCGGTTGCAAATACGATAGCCCGAACTCGCTCGCCCTTTTTGTTACACAAAGTGCACGTCAAAGTGATTTTAATTACAGAGTTATGATAATAAAATTGTTATTTATTGAAATAGAATTTCGAAAAAGAAAAAAAAAACTTTTTTTTCACCAGCCTTAAAACCAAATTCGGATATGCTGTGTTTTGAGGAAAGTAAAATTGTAAGGCAGTATATACAGTAAGTTTTATTAAGAGTAAAAGTAGATTCAAAGATTGAGAGGGTTCTATTCTAACTATCAGTTTGCATATTTATATATGTTAAGAGAAATCGGATTATGAATTTAGTTTGATGGATAAGTTACACAGCACTAAAATAGTGCTTGTAGTTGGATATGATATAATGTATTAGAAATTAGTTCGTGTTGTGATGTAATAACGTATGGGGTGATGAAATGAGATTTAATTTTAATATTGTTTTATGGTGTGATTAGTAACAACAGTAGGTGGATCACCACATTACACCTGGAATTACTGTCATCTTAGACACATTGTACTTCCATATCTTTAGTAAGCCTTAGTCACTGTGTTCTTGTAACCTTGTGATATGATAGTACTAACTATCTATATTGGGTAATTGATTCTTTAATCATTCTTAATGTATTGATGTCATAGATATGGATTTATTTAATGTAGCAACTGTCGTATTTCCTCCAATAAATATCGTATAGAATGACCTTCAATGTGGTTAAATTATAATATTCGAGTGGTACTCTCATATTACCAGTATAATTTTGTTACAGACTATACATTGGGAATTATATTATTATTGGTTGTTTTTGATTCTCATTAATCTGTTACTGAAGTGTCAGCTAATGAGAATTTTTCACTTAATAATTTGGGCCAATTAATATAAGAAAGTATTGATTGACTTAAGACCATGTAATTCTAATTGCCATGTTTCAGAAGATAGAAACAAGCCACTGCCTATTCCTTACCAGATTCAATCTCCCAGATGTTTGATATAAAAAGCGTCCTCCCTTTTGCGATGACTTTCTCTCCATAACTCTAATAAAGGATTAATAGAGACTCATTTCTTATTACTTCTTTTTATTCTGTTTTATCTATTTTTTAATATCTCAAACATCACAGCAACAATATAGCAGATCACCACACGATCTTCTGCTTTTTCTTGTCTTCTTCTCTCTTCAATTTCTTCAAATCGATTAACCATAAGCCAAGTTGAAGCATCAACGTTTCGAGGTCGTCTTGCTGTCACTTCTTCTTCAACATCTTCATCCACCTAAAAACGTCGACGTCTTGCAGGAATTCGTCCAGCACGGTGGTCTTCTGTTTCACCCAGAAGTGAATCATAAATCACAGGAGGGTTGGATGTTGGAAACTGAGCTGTTGCCAGCTCCATGAATTCCTCAAACTTTCAGTGCTCAAGAGGTGCACTTCCAGTAGCTGATGCAGCTCTTCGTCTGTCTCTCTGCTTGTTGACTAAAGTGTTCCATTTACTTGTCAATGCCGTTATGTTGCGTCGACCATTGACAGCAGCATTGGCGTTGTAGTCCACTGTTACTCTTCTCTTCAAACGCTCTCTTTGTGGTATTTGACAAAAATATTACAAAGAAAAAGTAATGAGAAAAAAGTATATCTTTATTCGAGGTAAAAATAGACTAAAAGAACTCTGCTGCGATGAAATAATTGATCCTTTTTATATTGAACAACTTCCCCTGGTAGTTGTGTTGAGTCAACCTTTCTGGTCTTGTAATAAATCTATACTCAGTTTCCCGCCTTACATTAAATGAATTCTACTCGTTAGAATTGATTTCAAATAACGTCGCCCTGAATCAACCGATCTGGGACACTCTTATTGTTCTGTTTAAAATACAGAATTCCAGTAAGGTATTGTGTAACGGTGGCTAGTTAAAAGATGCATAAGGTTTTTGTGTTTAATTGGCTGTGGTAGAACATGTAGTTATGTCTGATCATTTATCCATTCTGTTGATTATTTTTATCTAAGACATGGGTAAATATGTGATCCTAAATATAGAACATCTTATCGATGTTTGTATATTTGGTTGTAGAAAATAGGCATCCAAATATTCCATGCACTACTTCTCTTATACACTTACAGTCGTATAAGTTGGGTTTATCAATATATAAGTAAATGAACCATTTATATAAATAGCTGTTCTATTCTCTCTATGGGTAGCTAATCCATTGAGAGAACTATTAACATTAAGTTTCTCTTTCTTATATTTCTTGATTTGATCGGAGAAGCTTCTCTTCCCGACCGGTGATATCGTAACTCAGTGGTATAGAATTCTATATCCAACTGTCATTCGTATATCGATTTTAAGCCAATCATGCAATCTTTTTATATAGAAATATGTACTCATAGTAGGAGTCGTTGTGTAGCAGTATACAGGTGTATGCTGTTACTCAATATTAAAGGATGTTTTTATTCCATGTTTTTATTTTATTCGATTTATTTGTTTATTCTCAAATAAATCATACCCAAATACGACACTCTTTCTGCTGGTGAACCAGAAGAGACCAACCGAGGAACAAAGTTGTTTGGGGTGTAGATAAAATGTAAATTAAGGTAACAAAAGAAAATACTGTTAGAACTGTGTATATCTTTTATTTCGAGAAAATTTAGATTAGGGAATTCTACTAGCAAAAACTACAGGTATTTATACTAAATGATTAGATGGCTTTCGGATAAGATATGTGACGCGTTAGAGGAATATGATAAAATGTTATACGTAATGTCTGTTTAAATAAATATGTTATGAAGTAATTCCTGCCTTACAAAGTAAAGACAAAAGTACGTGAGGATCTAAATTCATCTCCGCAGGTGACATTACGTAAATGCCAAAGAGAAAGTTTAGTGCGTGTAATATTCAGTAACCGAATATTCCGCCTATGGGATTGTACTATACTTTTATAGTATTATAATATTTTACTCGTCACAAGGCAAATCACCTTGTGCACAGACACCAACGGTTCTGATGATAACAAATGGGGCGAAGTGTGAGCCATGAATATTTATACATGATCATCCATTATTATGTAAAATGTGATGATTCTTTTATTATAATCTATGACATCCTCAACAAAAGTCTTCGAAGAGCTCAATCAAAACATGAGTGCTTGGTACATCCCATTGGTTGGTAGTGAAAAGCTCCTCTGTTTGTTCTTCGGCCGGAGTGGATCCAGTTTTAGCAGCAGGTGCTTCAGGAACATTAGGCTGGGTGGGAACAGCGGTTGGTGCAGAAGTACGAGGTAAGTTCATACCAGCATTAGCCCTAGTACTATTAGCAGGAGCAGAAGCAGGAGCAGTAGCAGGAGCAGTAGCAGTAGCAGTAGTAGTAGCAGCAGCAGTAGCAGTAGCAGTAGCACTAGCAGTAGCAGTAGCAGGAGCAGCAGGAGCTGCTTGGTTACTTCTAGGTCTACCTCTAGTGGTATTGCTAGTAGGATTGAATCCGTTAACAAAGTTCTCGCTGGTGTAGTTTTGGAAGTTCATTTTGTAAGAAAAAAAAGAAGTTGGTAATAAAGATATGGAAAAAAATCGAGGGATCTAGAAATTAATTTAAAAAAAAAAAAAAAAATTAGTGAATTCAGTAATCCATTTTGTGTCTTTTTGGATTTGTGAGAAGGTATTCCGGTGCTTTCAGATTTCAATTCTCTTTTTGGACGTTTTTAAATTTTTAGCACTGGAAAAAAATCGTTTTTTTTTTAAATATCTGTTTTCGTGTTATTTCATTTTTATTGAGTATATTTGGAAGAAATGTAACCTTTCACGAAAAAAAAAAAGAAACGGAGAAGAAAAAAAAATGTCCCAAATTTGGACGATTAAAATGTTTTTTGTGTGCTTTAGAGGGGTCTTTATGTGAGCAGCCTAAGGGCCCTCACAAGCAACAAAATTTTTTTTTTAAAGATCCCGATTAAGGACTTTATTATTATTTTTTTTTTTTTTTTTTTTTTTTTGTGAAAGGTTACTTCAGACT